CAGCAGAACCGGAAGCAGCAGCGGCATCAGCAGGAGCAGGAGCAGTAGTGGTAGCCGTTGTCGTCGTCGATGTCGTAGTGGTAGTAGCCCTAGCAGTGGTAGCAGTAGCACCAGTCGTCGTCGTGGCCGTGGTGGGAAGGGCGAGGAGGAGCAATTGCTAGGTTCCACCTGCAGAGCCCTTAGCATCAGCCTGCAAGGTCGGCATCGGATACCTGCACCACAACTGGATTATCCACCGGGATGTGAAGCCTGAGATACTCATCTGAATCTGCATGTCTCCATTCCTAGTTGGCTTCGTTCACAGATCGGCACTGCTACAGGTCCAGTCGATGCTGTTCTAACCATCAACATGCAGGGATTGAAGGTTTCTGGGCCCAGTCAACGAACGTGAGGGAGCCTCACTCGAGCCTTCTGCTTCGAAGGCATTGCAGTTTTGATTGAGCGGGTTTTAGCCGTAAGCGGAAATGCCCGAACTTCAAGCTCCGAATCTCAAGCCCCGCAGCCCTGAGCCCAAAGTTTACAAACCCTAGAGTTAGGTTTTCGAGGCTGTATTGAACAGTGCACAAGCTTAGCGTACAACTCCGCTGTTGAGTTTTGCACTGCACGATCAGCAAGCACGAAAAGACTCGGGCCATATCTGTAAGACCCTGCCGCCAGCTAAACAGCTTGTACATGTCAGTACAGAACCCAAGACCTGCAGAATACCACCCGGAACCGCAAAAAAAGGCCTAGCCTGCCCCGAAACTAAGGGCCAAGATTTGGGAAATCCGAACTGACCAGTCCAACCACTAAACCCTACCTCTAATCTCCATTGTAGTTCCTTTTTGGGGTTACCTTTTAGAATCCTTATTATAATGCGATAGGATTCGGGGTTTAGGGCCTACATCGTGATATTTACAGTTTTGACTGCGGACTGTCCACGCCTTGCTATGCGAGGAACTACCTGATCCAGGATCAGCTTGCTGACGAAGATGGCTGCTTGCTACAAACTTTCAATTTCTGTCAATATGATTTGAGCTTCGGGTCGCCTTGAGCTCAGAGCCTGGAACCCTGAACCCTAAACCCGTAAACCCTTAAACCCCTAGACCCTTAAGCCCTAAACCTTTTAGGCTTTTAAAAGGATTCTGGGGGGTCCGGGGTGTTGGTGCACCGCACGCGAAGAGTAAAGGGTTTTGGATTCCCAGAGGGTCCAAGTACTCCCTATTTTAGTATTTTAGGGCCGTTTTAGGTATCAAAAACCATAAATAGGGATTACTTGGACCCTTCGCTATTTGCCAGGGTAATTGCTAGTAATCGCGGCTGCTGTTGTCACCTCTTTTGCATTATGATGGCTCTCAGTATCACTGCTGCTGTTGATTTTGTTGGCCCATGTGGTGCTTACATAAAGTAAAAGCCAGACAGTTGGAATATGATTATCCTAAGCCTTTTATGGTAAATTATAGGGTATCCTACCCTGAAACCATATCCCAACTTTCTGGAGTTCCCTTTAACTCATCAAAAGCTTCAGTGTCAATCCATGTGGCCAGAACAGGGCAACTTGGGTCCGACGTGTAACTAGCGGCTTACCTATAATCTCCATTGTAGTTCCTTTTTGGGGTTACCTTTTTAGGATCCCTAATATAGAATTGGTTAAACCAGAAAAAGGAACTACAATGGAGACTATAGGTACTTTGCACCGGAAACAGTCCAAAGCTTAAACTCCTAAACCCTAAATCCTGAAGCAGGGCGCTTTAGAACCCTGGCGGTGTAGGATTTTAGGGTATTCCTGTAGCCGGTCTGGATTCAGCGTTCAGCGTGCAGGGCTGTAGGTGCGGCTGAACAACACCCAGAAACGCAATGTAAGGGCCTAAAAAATACTATTTTTTGGGGGGTCCTTGTTTAATCACAGTACCATGGGTCCCAAAACCAAATTATGAAAAGGCCCCTCCATTAGCCAAAGGGTCCCCTAAACCCTAACCCTTTTCTAATTATTAAGGCTCCTCTATTAGCCCCCAGTACTCAGAGGATCATGGGACTTAGTAAGTAAGGTTATAAGTTATAAGTACCCTAATTGGGGTTATAAGTATAGTTACCCTAATAATCACTCTAGTTACTAAGTCCCATGACCCTTTAAGTACTCTCTGTAGACCTGAGGCACCCCAACGCAAGATTTGCAAGGCTCTTCAGATTGACGGCTCGGGGTTCGACCTTGAACCCTCTTAGGGTTTAGGGTTTAGGGGTTTAGGGTTTATGGGTTTAGGGTTTAGGGGGTTCAGGGGTTAGGGTTTAGAGGTTTAGGGGTTTAGAGGTTTATGGCATGGGTTCAGGGTTTAGGGGGTTTACCTAGCCCCAGCGGCCCTGGCCCTAACCCTCACTTCTGCGCGCCAGACTTGAGGTTTCGAGTTCAACGTCTTTGCTAATTCCCCAAGGGTCCATGTACTCATATAGCATATATACATTGGCCTTAATGTAGCCCCTATATAGGTACATTCGACCCCATGTATCTCTATATGGGTACATGGACCCTTAGGGATTCCGAGCTTCGAGGTTTAGGGTTTACGGGAACCCCGCCGATGAAATCCTACCTAAATACCCGAAACCCTCAGACGCCCAAACCCTACACCTTACACCCGAAACCCCGCCCAACACCCGATGGAGAGCACTGAAGGTATGTGCAGAGTGAAGCTTTCTGACTTTGGCCTGGCGAGAAAGATTGGGATGCTTGGCCGAACAAAGGCTTACTGTTTCTTGAGTTTGCGGGTTTATGGGTTCAGGGTTTAGGGTCTGTGAGGCTTCTGGCATTTCGGATCTGTTCCAGGGCTTGTGTTGGTCGCATTGTCGTTTGTATACACCCTAAACCCACAAACTGGCCCCAAACCCTAGACCGTATTGGTCTTCAATATCTTCTCTGATGGGTATTGCACCAGAACAGCATTCTTGCAAGAACTCCAGAGGATCCCGAAGCGAACCTAGTGCAGTAGATACTTCCATAAGGCCCCAAAATAATCCTACACTCGAAACCGCAAACTTCCGCATAGTTCCCCCAGCGGAAACCTTACTTAAGCCCTCTCTTCATTACGATACGATACTACTATATCTAATACTAGTCGTGTTCTTCTTTTTATTCTTCTTCTTTTTCTTCTTATTATTATTATTATTCTTCTTCTTCTATTGGTATTGCCCCGAAAGGACAAGCCACATATTCGAGCTCGACGCCTTCGTAACTTTCATTTCTTGAGGTTACGATGTGGTGACTGATGACGTTAATATCTTCGACCCCGTGTTTTAGGGAACCTCGATGCCGATCTTGACCTTAAGAAGCGGAGACCCCGGAGCGCAAACCCTACAGCTAGCGTAGTCTAAGCCATGTGGGTGGTTTTCAAACTCATGGTCCCCTTTTGGGTCCCCAATATAATACGGCGCCTTATACTTAGGGTACCCCCAAAGCGGCCATAATTTTGACAACTACCCATGCGTGTTTCCCAACCGTCAGGCAACGTGAGAAGATTCAAGATCAAGCAGGCCGCTGGCCAAGTTGCAGTCTATGCGTCCGGCATGTATATCCTATGTCCTATGTCGTAGGTTGCTAGGTTGTCGATTATATGCTACTGTGAGGTTCAAGTGGGATATACCTAGACCATTCCATGTCACATACAACTACCTGTTGTGGGGCTACTTTATTTTCTTAAGGAAGGTGCCTAACTGGAACCGTCTAGGTCATGCAGAAAAATGCGCCGTCATTTCTGCCTAGGACGGACAGGTCTGCCGCTTTACAGGTTCGGCCATCCCAAAACTACAGAGTGGAGAGTCGGGAATTGGGAAATTAAGGATTCCAGTACTGACAGACCCTACTTGGAGGATCATGGGACTTGGTAAGGTTATAAGTACCCTAATTGGGGTTATGAGTATAGTTGCCCTAATAATAGGTACTAAGCCCCATGATCCTTTAAGTACATGATTGGCGGGATCCTTAGTCACTTTGGAATCCCTTGAAGGGGACCTATTAAAAACCAGTGCGGAGGGAGCAGGGTGACCTTTCTCAGGGTTTTCGCCATGGAACCAGCCATCGTTTTGTATTTCAGAAAATGCTTTTTGCCCCACAGGCTGCACTCTAAACCCTCGGCCCAAAGTGAACAAACTCGTCCTGGCATTGCAGTGGATGCTAGTCCATTCGCTCGCATGGGCACATGCAGTTTCAACCACGTACATCAAAACACCAGCCCCATCCCAGAGAGCCCAATACCCCTTAATTAAGGAATAGACTTTAACTTGTAATACTAAGTCCCATCGTTTAAGGCATATTCCTTAAATGAGGGGTATTGGGCTCTCTGGGTAACCCCTAAACCCTAAACCCTGAACCCCTCAACCCCGAAAATCCTGTCTCGACTTATATACCCGCCTGAGAGCTCGCGAATCTCCAGGCAGCGAGCTGCCTGTAGTCTCCATTGTAGTTCCTTTTTGTGGTTTAGGGTTTCAGGGTTTAGGGTTTAGGGGTTTAGGGTTACCTTGTAGGATCCTAATTATATATTTGGTTAAACCAAAAAAGGGGCTACAATGGAGACTATAGGTGCTTTTGAACAGCAGAAGAAGCAAAGCGCCAGTATCTTACCCTAAGGGTCCATGTACCCATATAGAGGTACATGGGCCCCAATGTACCTATATAGGGACTACTACATTAAGACCAATGTACATACTATCCGTAGGGTAATGTAGGAACCTGATTAAGAAATCCTGGGCCTATACCGCCCAAATTATAGGATTCACATCAAGAACCCTAATTTAGGAAGGCCCAAGGTTTCTAAATCAGGTTCCTACATTAGTTTATACTTAATTAAGCCGCCAGACCCTAAACCCTAAACCCCTAAACCCCTAAACCCTAAACCCTGCCCCGGAGGCTCACTGCCATACATGGCGCCGGAGGTCATCAGAGGCTCCTACGACACAGGACAGTCTCGGGATTTAGGGATTAGGGTTTGGGGGTGAGAGTTTAGGGGTGAGGGTTTAGGGGTTAGGGTTTAGGGGTCAGGGTTTAGGGGTCAGGGTTTAGGGGTTAGGGTTTAGGGTCCTCCCTCTCTCGCTCTCTCTCTCTCTCTCTCTCTCTCTCTTTCCCTCTGTCACTCCCTCTCCCTCTCCCTGCCTTTGTTTGTCTCTCTCTCTCTCTCTCCCCTCTCTTCCTTAAGAAGTATTAGACTAATGAGAGCCGCGCTGTGGGCAGCGTCCGTGGGCGAGGTAATTCCATAGAGAGTTCCTTTACGGTTTGTTGTTTTGGGGGAATGTTTCTTTTAAGGGTTCACTTCTCAGGTTCCTTTTAAGGTGCCTTTTACGGCTTCTGTTTTTAAAAACGGGTGAACCAGGGAAACCATCTGCTGAGATCCCGCTTTGCTGCAGCACTTCTTGGGCTTCCTTAAGACTTCCTTCCCCCAGGTTTGGGCATGCCCTTGCCTTCCGAATCCTAGATGCGCTCTTTCCACAGCTCTATGTGGTTTATTGCAGGTTTGCGTAGTTTTCGTTAGGTTGTTCTCAGGCGGCCGGCAATCAAACAAGTCTCCCATCTGGCACTCCATTCCTCCAACACTTCACGGACGTTCTTGACGTGCGGTTTCGCACCTCAGGAGACTACTTGGGGACTATCTGGGGATTAGAGTACATTGTGTTGCTGAATGGCTTGATCGTCTTGGATGCTCTCCTGGACATGTTCAGCTAGCTTGTGTACCAATTTGCATTGCAACTGAGTCATGCCGCAGTCATGCCGGTGATGCGATCACATCTCCAGAAATCTGGAGCTAGCTCGGTAGTTTTCTACCCCTATGTCCTACGTACCTAAGACACCCCTGCAAGAACAAGCCTAAACCTGCAGAATTTTAGGGAAGGTCAGGGTTTGAGATTGAGGGTTTCGTCAGGGGAGAGGAGTCAGGGAGAAACCCTGCGAAGTTGAATGTTGCTCAGAGTTTGGGTGAGCTTATATACCGCTTCCACCCCCCCCCCTTCCCGCACCCCCGCACTTCCACAAGTTTTCTTTCCAGGATGCGACATGTGGGGTGTTGGCGCAGCTTGGCCTAAGAAGGGCTGTCTGTTTGAAAGGCCTTCCGTTCCTGAGCCTTTCCACATGCAGTGCTACGAGCCAGGAGGTCCCCAGGCTCCCACAAGTGTCGGTCAGTGTGTCGCACCAGCTTTCTTTGCTTCTTTCTCTATCTCTCTCTCCCTCTCTCTCTGTCTCTCTGATACGGTTGTTATGATACACGTAACCTTTCTTTCATACTTAAAAGCCGTCTGCCAGAATTCGTTCAGGGTTTTAAGAATCAGGGAAGAGCTCTGGAGAGATAAAGCTTCCAGGGACACTGCCGTCGAAGCCCAGCAGATCCGCTAACTGCCCCAAACCCTGCTTGGAGGTTCACGGGTAGCTATAAGGGTTCCTTTAAAGGGATCTATAGGGATTCTATAAGGGTTTAGGGTTCATGGGTAGTTATAAGTAGGGTTATAAGTCCCCCTATGTGGGTTATAACTATACTTATCCTACTTATAACCTCGCTTATAACTACCCATGAACCTCCAAGTAAACCTAAACCCCACCCCGAAAAATCGAGAACTACAAGATCATGGTGACCTTTTTCCGTCTCACCTAGTGTCTGCCTGTACAGGCAGACTCGTCCACACACTTCAAAACAAACTAGCCTAAACCCTAAACTCTAACCCCTAAACCCTACCGCGATGAATTGTGTCAGGCATGCATCTACCTCCTCGTCTGCAATGTGCCTCAGCGCGCGATGTCAGGTAACATAGAAGCCGACATAATTACCAAGATTATTCCTTAGGGTTCCTTGTTTTGTTTATACTACAGAGACAGCCTAATTGATAAGGTCCCTACAATAGTCGGCTTGGGGCTGGTTTCATGCTTTCATCGTACTTGTCCTACTTGACAGCTTCATTTCTTAGCTTCCCAGAAGCCCGAACCTGTATGCCCTAAATGCGACACCCATTTGGGTGCTAGACTAGTATAGGGGCCTTATTGATTACCAACAAACTCTTTTGGGGGAGTCCTTACTATGATTATAGTATAATGGGCCCCTAAACCCAATTCTAATGATTAAGCGAGAATATTACAGCGGTTTGAGAAGTTTTTTGCAATTGCACTGCAGGGAATGCGAGTGTATGTTGTGATGTATTATGAAATGCCCCGCCCGGGAAGATCTCTCGCTGCTCTGACAGTTTGTGCGACTCCGAAACCCCAAACCCAGCCCACCAGCTGGAACCCCCAGCCTCGACTAAAAGTAGTCATACATTCCTCATGCAGCCCCTCTGTCCTTGTACACACACACACACACATATATATATATATATATATATACATATTCACATATGTACTGTACCTGTATATACTAATATAGGTATACATAGATGTAGACACAGACATATACATATGCATATACATACATCTAACTCGACTACAATTGACCACGAAGCCTGCCTCTAACGAATGAGACTTGTTACAGCCTCCACCACACCTGATCAACCTGTGGGCTGAGATAGGATGAGTATGTTAAACCCAACGGATCCTACTGTTGATGGACAAAATCCTGCATTACCCATCATAAGGAATATACTATAGTTCCCATAGTTTAGAGTCCTTAGGGTCATGCAGGATTTTGTCCATCAGCAGTGTTAGGGGGGTGTACTTCCCCAAGTCGGAATGGTAATTCCGAGTATAGAAACTCTGCATGCTACAATACAGGTACTTCGGACCCTTTGTGCAAATAGCAACCCTGATGAGACAGGTCCACTGGTGGGAAGACATGGAGTACGAAAAGGTGGAGGCGCCCACGACATGCAGAAGAACTGACAAGTAATAGATTACCAAGAACAGTACCAGCAGAATCAATATGACTAGCAGTAGCTGATAGTAGTCCCTGAGCCCTGAACTCCTTGCCGCAGGTGATGCACAGATGAAGCTTCCAACAGTGTAACGCTGCAATCTGAACTGCATGCACTACACCCCAAAATTGACACTAAATCCTGATCTCTGAAGCCGAACGAAACCTAGACCCTACACCCTGGTCCAGGTGGCAGACTTAAACACCTTCATCGTCGACAGCATCTTGGAAAAAGAAGCTGCTTGGCTTCTTCAAGAATAGAGCTTGCCAGGCGAAGCGAGAAAGCTAAGAGATTGATCCCCCCTGTAACCTGAGAACCCAGATTCTGGGCCTAAACCCTAAACCCTAAACTCCCTAAACCCTAAACCCTAAACCCTAAACACCGGCAAACGCAGTCAACACCAAACCTTAGGCTCTAAAGCTCCCAAGCCTGAGCAATGACTTTGTACGCCTGGTGCAGAGCAAGGCCCCTGCCCCGGAATGGCCATGTATACCCCCTATAACCCGAAAATGGGGGCACCTTAATTTGGGGTCCTTATAATAAGGATCCTACTATTTAGGGTACTATATTAGGGTCCCTTATACATGGCCCTAAGGGTTCCTGTACCCATATAGAGATACATGGGCCCCAAAGTACCTATATAGGGACTACATTAAGGCCAATGTATATACTATATATGAGTACATGGACCCTTAGGGTATTGTAGGAACCTGATTAAGAAATCCTGGGTCTATACCCCAAAAGAATAGGACTCACATAAAGACCCTAATAAAGGCCCAAGGTTTCTTAATCAGGTTCCTACCCTAAACCCTAAACCCTTTATAGATCCCTTATAGACCCCCTATAGTATCCCTTATAGACCCCTTTAAAGGAACCCTCAGGCCCAAGGTTTCTTAATCAGGTTCCTACATTAGTTTATAGTGAATTAGGCCTCTTTGCTCTAAGCCCGATAGCCCTAGAACCGAAAACGCAACATCCTAGAGCCAATCGACATGTTAAGTCCTTTCCCTAATGGTTGTACGCATATAGAGATACATGGGCCCCAAAGTACCTATATATAGGGACTACATTAAGGCCAATGTATATACTATATGAGTACATGAACCCTTAGGGTTTGCCAGCATTCTGCACATAGTCCCTGCAAACTTGCCTTCTTCATCACGTGAACCCGACCCCCCCTCCCCTCCAAAAAACAAACCAATCTGGGAACCCTGGAGTCCTAAACCCTAGAACCACAAACGCAACTTCCTAGAACCGTAGAGCTTTATGGAGAGGATTCGCCATTCGGATGTAGGTTTCTAGGGTTTTATAGGGTTAATCACAGGGCGTAGTTCGTATGTCAAAGTTTCGGATGACTCTTTGTTTAGGGTTTGGGGGTTTTGGTGTCAGGGGTTTAGGGGCTAGGGGGGGTATATAGGGTGCACAGGGAGCATATTCCACGAGTAACGACAAAGGTCCTATGTAGATCCCAGCATCCGGAGCCTTAACTACCCCTAAGGGTCCTTGTACTCATATGGTATATACATTGGCCTTAATGTAGTCCCTATGTAGGTACATTGGGGCCCGCGTATCTCTATATGGGTACATTGACCCTCAGGGTACATGCCATGCCGAGATGCGGAAATCTAGACCTCACAGAGACGCAGAATGTCCTCACTCGCACATGCCCACCCGAAGCTCAATCCGACAATAGCCCACAACCTTTCCCTAAGGTTCCATGTACCCATATAGGGATACGTGGGCCCCAATGTACCTATATAGGGACTACATCAAGGCCAATGTATATACTATTGGAGTACATGGACCCGTAGGGTTTGCAAGCCGGAAAAAGAGCTCGATACCCGGAGCCTGACACGTCCGTACAAATCCTGTAGTTTCCATGAGTCCTAGTTCGTACACGAGGCGTGTGCGGCCATACTACGCCCTGTCAGCCGTCATTGAGCCCATTTAGATTTCTTTAGCTGTCGACCTGTTTGCTTTGCCAAAAGAGCGTGCTAGGGAATAGAGTTGAGGGTTTGACCGGAAATTTGGAGTGCATTTCTGCATTACGGGTTTGAGTATGTAATGCTTCGGGGCGCACCCAGCCCAGGTTCACTTCAACCTCCCCAATTGGGAGATGCACCCGGCAGAGTTCAAAGAACTCATTCAGTGACTCGGTGTGAAACCTTAACCCCAAACAGCAGCCTTGCAAAGGCTTAGGACCGCGGGAGGGCACGATTCTGTTAACAGAACTGGGGTTTTCCCTGCAACAGCCTCACCCAAAACCCTACCCGAACCAATCAAAAGAATATCGTCTAATCGCTTTTCATGGGTGTTGGGCCATCAGTTCATCCATTTGGAGAGGGTTCGGTTAATCCCTAACCCTTGAAGCCTAGACCCTAAACCCAGAAAGGAAAATCCTAATCCTTTCAGTGTTTTGGTGTCTAGAATTGGCGCTGCGGTTTATGATTTACGTACCGTAAGGTTTCGAGCCTTCAAGCTTGCAGCCTGATTCGCAGGGCGGAAGCAAAGGATTAGGTAGGGTTTGTAGGATTCCGGCTTTTAAGGGTTTGATATTTAAGGAGTGGGGTGTTCCGGTTCTTTAGGATTTAGGGCTTAGAGTTTTTAGCCGATGAGGGTCTAGGGTCAGAGTTTGGGGTTTACGGTTTCAGACTTTCGGGATTTGGGGTTTAGGATGTAGGCTCAGCGTGTAGGGGTTGTGCGGTTTGGGATTTAAGGCTTTTGCGGTTTGGGGTTTAGGACTAGGTGGGTTTGAGCCACCGCTATATACAGTTGGGGCTTTCAGTTTGGACTGCGGTTCAGGGATTCGCGCATGGATGTCAATGTCAGGTGAAGGGTCAGGCTGATGCTAGTTGAAGTTGAGTTTGCTTTCGGGTGTTGTTGTCGTTTCGTTGGTTTGAGGATGTCTGGTGATTTCAAGGAGAAGTTTGGAGTTTAGGTTTGCGGCTTTATTTAAAAGCAAAGCACAATATTCGTGCTATTACTGCATGTCGCATCATTAGTTTGAGCATACTGAGACCCCGTCGCAGCCCGTAATATGGATAACGCGGTGATGCCCCTGAACCTGATACCAAAAGCGTGTCACGAAATCCATTGCTGAGCAGACAAGGTCCATCCTCTTGAGGCTGCGCCTTAAACCCTAATCCTGTAACCCTGCACCCTCCACCCGAAACCCTAGTCCCTGAACCCTCAACCCTAGGCCCTCAACCCTAAATCCTCAACGTTTAAACCCTAAACCACCAAACTCTTAAACTCCGAAAGCCTCAACCCTAAACGGCAGACAAGGTCCCTCCTGTCCAAGGAGGCTGCTCTGCGACCTAAAGCCAGAAAGCTTGTGGCCCTTGGAATGCAATGTACGGCTCAGGGTTCGAGTGGTTGGATTGCAGTCGAGGGTGGGTGAATCAGTCGTGTCTTGGGGGTTAGCCTCCAAAGTATCGCAAAGGCATGTTTGTGCGATCGCATGTTCGCGCCAAATAAGTGGAAGGGCAAGATTCTCGCCATATGAGCCTCATCATCGGTGTCCACACGAACTTCTCCAATGGCACCATCTTTTGAATCAGTGTGCTCGTCCCCTAAGGGTCGATGTACTCGTATAGTATATACATTGACCTTCATGTAGTCCCTTCACCATCAGTCTGTGCTGAAGCCCCCTATGGTTTTCGACAAGCTTCTGAACTGAAAGCTTCGACCTTGATACTCGTGCGGCACCTTCGGCCGATAGCCGGATGCTGCCGTAAGCCCTAGACTCCACCATGAAGGCGCAAATCCCTACAACTCGATAAGTTCTACTACAGGGGCCTTCACAATTAGAATAGGGTTTCAGGGCCTGCTATACGATCTTTATAAGAAGGAGTCCCCAAAATGGTATTGGTAATTATTTAGGCCCCTATATTGCCTAGAGTCTCTATTGTAGTTCCTTTTTTTGGATGACCAGTTTTCTGGTTAGGATCCTATAAAAGAGGTTTTGGTTATCCAAAACAAGGAACTACAATGGAGACTCTAGGTAAACCCCTAAACCCCCTAAACCCTAAACCCCTAAACCCTAAACCCTAGGCCCCCATTCTAGCCCGATGCCTCAACCTGCGAGCCGATAGTGTGGCCCTACACACTCGTTTTCCCGACCGAGTTTGGTAGGCTTTTAGCATCCTGAGAGGGGTTTAGGGGTTTTAGGGGTTTTAGGGGTTTAGGGGGTTAGGGGGTTAGGGGTTTAGGGTTTAGGGGTGTAAGGGTTTAGGGTTATAAGCATCATAGGATTTGGGCTCGGCTACTTGCCGATCCTTCTGAATGTTATAAACATATATGGGTGGTTGTCAAAATTATGGTGTCCCTTTCTGGGTCATTATTATAATACGGCACCTAATATTGAGAGTGCCCAGAACGGGACCATAATTTTGACACACACATGTCTGCACATGGGTACACTGTGAGATAGCCAGCCCATGAGCCCGACAGACTGACCGACCCCTGGATAGATACTCCCAAAGGGTCCAGGTATTATTATGGTATATACTTAGACCCCCAAAGGACCCTATAAGTATATACCATAATGATACTTGGACCCTTGGGGACAGTAGATCTGTAGACCCCAGTTGTCAGATGTCACGTCGACATTCTCGTACTCTAAACGGCTTCAATGCGCTACTCTTCATGTCCTGGAGACTCCTCCTTCGTTGTTCGTGGGTGCCGTGTTTCGCTGGCTAGGGCTTACAAAACTTGAATGCAGCCCGGTGTATGGCAGATGGGGCGCAATGGAGGACAGTTAGGGGGGTCTGGGTAGATTTCACGGTTTTGTGGCTTACAGGTCGCGTTCAATGTTTACATAAGGGTATGGGGTTTAATTGGGGTAACTATACGGGTCCATGTACCCATATACATAGTTTGGGCCTAGGGTACCCATATAGGAGTGTCACCGATACCTCTTGAAGCCTGAAACTGAAGCACCTGCGCCAGAAGAACAAATGGATGCGCACCCATGGCAAGTCTGCCGTTGAATCCGGCGACTGTGACCTGGCGGAGCGAGTTGTAGGGTTTACCTTAACCCGGAATAACCTACCTTTTTAAGGACTTATATAAGGAACTCATAGTAAGGAGCCCTAAAAAGGTAGGTTATTCCGGGTTAAGGTAGGGTTTAGGATCCAGGGCATGGGACTTCAGGACCTTTGGTGTTGGGTTATTTGGGGTTTGGGGCTTAGGGCTTATAGGGCATTGACAGAGCAAAGGTCCGAAGGCTTTACATCCAGAGCCCTATCCTCAGCAACCAAAATGGGGGTTAAGTATTGAAGTGTAAACCTAAAAAACCCACCTTCCGGGAGATACAGGCTTCGCAAGCTTATGCTGAGCTGCTGTTTTGTGTTTGGGGTGCCTGTGCTAAAGCCCTGTCAGCCACAAAGCCTGCAAATCACTTGGGCTCCTAATTTCAGTAGACGTCTCCAATGTCGTACCCCAGAAGCTCATGTATCAACAGACCGTAATAAAGCTTTTAGGGCTTGGAGCTTAGGGCTTAAGATTCGGGGCTCAGGGTTTCGAATTTAGGCGAGAAGTTTGCGGAGCTACAAACAGCAGAGTGCCCCCTCTTACACCTACGCGCTGAACAATAGCACCTCTCTCTGGGGTAACTTTCTGGTTATGATTGGACCCTAAAACTGAATGGTTTGGGGTGCAATCTAGGCTTTAGGGTAGGGTTGGAGCCTACCCTTTTGCACAGCTCGTAGAACTGCTAGGGGGTTGCAAAGAGCAATATTACGCGCCAAGCCACCCGTTTGCTGACACTCACCTGCATCTAGAGTCTAATTAGAGGTTCATGGGCGGTTATAAGTGGGAGTTGTAAGTAGTACCTTAGGGGACTTTTAACCGCCGCTTCTTACTATCCATGACCTCCAAGTAGGGTTTTGAGCGCTGAAGATTTACCGACAGCTTATAGGATGAGGACTAGGATTTTGGACTTTTGGTCATTCGGAATGATCTACTCCAGCATCGGTTCCAGCTAACGTTGAGATTTTCCCAGCACAAACCTGCAACGGCGCACCTTCAAGGGAAGCCCAAACAGCCTCTTCACAAGACCAATACCCTTCAACACAGGAAGAGGCCCTCAATCCTAGTCTTACGCCGTCTATAACTTAAGTGTCCTAATTAATTGATGGACCCCCAACTACCCTCCAGTATACCCCAGATACCCACTATTAAGGACCCTAAGGGCTCTACTAACTCTGAACCCCTGAGTTTACGGGGTGCTGGGCTCTCTGGGGTCTATAATATCTATATATATATATATATATATATATATTCTAACAGATCTCTGGTAGACCCTTTTTAAGGACACATTTAAACAGGAACCCGATTCTAACGACCAAGGCCCCTGTGTTTGAGACGTGTTTGGCCCCTCCTGGCTGATCCACTGCCTGGCCTTTCCAAGGTTGTTGTTCGGTGCAGTGACGGCCGTGAGTTTGATGTCAGGGTTCGCTTTTCCACTGCTTGCTGGGGCACCTAGGGCCTAACGATAAGGTTTTCGGTCTTTGGACCGCTACTACGTTTCGACCAGTGTCTTTTGCTTTCTCAACAAGTCTTAGGGGACTCAGTGTAAGTCAAACGCTACTCTGAAGCCTAAACCCTGAACAAGTCTTCAGGTCTTAGGTGCTTCAGTGTGAGCCAAGAGCCCTCACTCCAGCCTTTGAATTCCGTCACAAGCTGAGACGCTCGAAATCGTAGCAATGGTACTTGGAGTGTAAGGTTTGGTCTAGGGCTTAGGGGTTGGAGTTTAAGGTTTAGGGTTTAGGGTCACCTGTGCTATTTGGGGATGTTAGGCAAGGGTGTAGGGCGTAAGCCGCAACCTGAAGGCACATGCCAGGAAGCAGAGGCCTGCATTCTGAAATTGGGTCTCTTGTAGGTCTCGGGCTTAGGGTTGTTCAGCGGTTTAGGGTTCAGGGATTATTTGTTGGCGGTGCTGCATGAGTCGGTAACGACGCGCTCCTGAATTCAGGAAACATGGGGTTAAGGGATTCAGGGTTTAGGGTTACTTGTGCGATCACGGAAGTGGTGGAAACACACCATAATCTGCAGAGCAAACCAAGCAGCCTTCGTGAAACCCGCCCCGAAACCCCTCAATCGTAGGTAGAAACGTCTGAAGGCCTAAGTGCAAATTTTAAACCTGAAGGC